TACAGCTATTTGCAGTGATGGACATGTTCTGTATTGGCTCTGTCCAGTAGGGTGGGCCACTAGCCACATGTGGCTTTTCTGTACTTGAAATGCAGCTAGTACAGCTGAGGAACTGAATTTTTTATTTTAAGTTTAATTGATAAAAAATTTAAAAGCCTCATGTAGTCACTGTATTGACCATGCAGCTGTAAACAAAATTCAATACAATGATATTGTAGATGCCAGCGATGAAGAGAGAATGGAAGAGGCAGACATGAAGTTTGAACTCTTCTCTGTAACCATTAGGTCACCAGGTTCTATTAATATTTCATGAGTTCTCTCTTGCCACTCTTCTATTCTGTTTTCATTCTTCTCCAAAAAGTAGCTGTCACTCTCATTTTCAGTCCATTCTAGAGACTTTTGCAATGAACCTTAATAAAGAACTACTTTAGTCACCTTAATTATATTATTAATCTGCTGAAATTCCTTCTGTAGCTCCCAATTGTCTATCTTCAGAACCTTCTTAGGTCTGCATTCAGTCTTAAGGGCTTGCTCCAAGTAAAGTACAGTGTTCAGTTTGTTTGTACTTCTTGCCTTTGCCATTTCTGTTACTTAGATCACTCTTCTGTCTGTCTAAATCCTACCTCACTTTAAGGCCCAGGGCCCAGCCCCTGGTTCAAGTCTTGAACGTGATCTTTTTAATCTCTAATGGTCATTACCGCCCTTTGGCAGTTACAGTCGTATACATCCTGTACTTTCTTCTTTGTGCTGTCATATGCAGAAGTCCAAGAATATTTAATTATAAATTTATGAGATTATCCAAAACATGTTCCTGTAGAAAAATAATAATTTTTCTCTTATTTAATTAACTAATAATTTTTCTATTCAATATAATGATATAATAATAATAATTATACAATCTACTCTTTATATTTGTAAGCTGTCCTCAGAAGTCTTTTTATTCCAATTATAACTCCACGGTGGTTGTAATGGTCCCTGGGAATGGCTGTAGTGTAAGGGTTGAAATTTTTGTAGTAGCCTTAAAGGCAAGAGTTCATTTGTTTATTCATTCTACAGATAATTATTAAGTAGCTGTTATATGATAGGCATTATTCTAGGAGCTGGGATTATAGCAATAAAAACAAACAAGTAAAAGAAAAAAACAGACAAATTCCTATCTGAGAGGAGTATAAATTCTAGTTGAATATTTTTATTTTATAGTATCTGCTCTTCCCCCAAACCAATGTGCTTAGATGTAATGCTTATTGTATAAGCAAATAATAAGCACTTTATTTAGTACTAAAGTATGATAAATAACACTTATGTCATTTAAGCTCTGAAGTTAAATTATCAATTTAATATCTAAAGATTTTTTCTTTTCTACCATTTGAAACAGAGTATCCTGAGGATGTAGCTCCTACTGTTGGATTTTCCAAAATTGATCTTAGACAAGGAAAGTTTGAAGTCACCATCTTTGACCTGGGAGGTGGAAAAAGAATTCGGGGAATCTGGAAGAATTACTATGCTGAGTCCTATGGGGTAATATTTGTTGTGGATTCCAGTGATGAAGAGAGAATGGAAGAGACAAAAGAGACAATGTCAGAAGTGCTAAGACATCCTAGGATATCGGGAAAGCCTATATTGGTGTAAGTAATGTTGGTTGTCATTGTAAACATAAAGGCAGCAGCCTTAGTCAATAAAGAAATTTACCTAAGTTGCAAAATACTGAATAAGCTAGAAGTGTCATGCCCTAGTTTAATAAAATGTATGTAATTAACTGGGAGTTTTTAATATACCAAGGCCTTATTATGATGCTATCTATAGGGATTAAGGGTGAGGCTTTATTATGAAGAAGCCTTATAATTTAGATCTTCTGGGTTTTCAAATATAAATTCGTTGTTTTATTTGATAATTTACTTCTTATCAAATTTTGCATTTTTGAAATGGTCTATTAACAAGGTTCTACAAGGTTTTTCAATTTATTTTCCTCTTTTAATAACTTACTTGTTACATCTTTGTCCTTTTTTTCTTGTATTCTTGTTTGAAAGTTATTCAGATGGTTTATTCTTCTAATGCCACATTGATTTCCCAGTTTTTACTTATGTATTTACAATCTGAAGATGTGATCCATGTCATTGTCAGCTTATTCATATGCTTAGCATCATTTTGTCTAGCCACCTAAACATTTTTAAAAAAAGCTAAGTGATAAAGGACTTTTGCACTACCTGCTTGCATAGCATTTCTGCATAGTAAACAGCAGATGGTGCTGTAACTTTGAGACGTAGTAAAGTGAAAATAGTTAAAATTACTCTTAAAATTGGAGTAAGTGGAATGAGTGCTCTTGCCTTCTTGTCCCTTTTCCCTCATTCTTCTGATTCATTACTAATGATTAAAAAAAAAACCCCAAACCGTCACGTGGTTACATGAAAACTTGTAAGCAGAATTTCTCAGTGGTCCTCAGTAATAAATGAACATTTAAAAATGAAGCAGTTTGGAAGCTCTAATTACAAAAAGTAAAACTTTATTGCATCATTTATTGGTAAGCTTATACTGTTTCATTTTTATACATTTAATCAGGGAAGTTATATATATATAACATATATATAATATATATAACATATATATATAATATATATATAAATAAAACTAACTTTCACCTTAAAGAATCTGAAAGAAACTTTAATAGAGATGTACACAAAGAGTAAACTTTGTTGAATCCCATAGGCTAAATTAGTCTCTACAAATATTGAAGCAGAGAACCAGTGACTTCTAAAGTAAAAGGTATTAATGAATGATGTTCATTTGTAAAATAACTGCTTTTTTTTAACCCAGTAGTCACTTATTTAATTTATTCTTTATTCATGCATGCATGTATTCATTCACACATGTGCTAATTCAGGAAATATTTATTGAGCGTCCACTCTGAGCCAGGCATTGTTCTGCTGATAGGGATCCATTCAAGAACATAAACAATAAAACTTCATGTATGACCTCAGGAGCTCTAGGGGGTGAGACACACAATAAATGTAATAAATAAATTATGTTGTACATTAGGTGATAATAAGTACATTGAAAACAGAGCAGTTAAAAGAAGATCAGGAATCCCATGGTAGTGATGGCAACAGGGGCATGTTACTCTTAGAATTAGGATGATCACTGTAGGTCTTATTGAGAAGATGATGCTGGAGGTGAGAGTCAGTCATGTAGATTATGTGGAAAAG